CGTTCCCTGGGCGTTTTGTTTCCGAACGTTTCACCCGCATCTGTGACCGGCATCTTCAGAGGGCAGGAGCACAGACAGGAGCAGTTCTCTCTGTGCCCAGAACTGCTCCTGTCGGTGCTCCTGCCCTCTGAAGATGCCGGTCACAGGTGCTGGCGAAAAGTTAGGAAACAAAACGTCCAGGACACGGCCACACAGCCCGGGAGACCCACACCAGCCTTCCTCATTCTTTATTAGGATCTCAAGTTATTGCATTTCTTCAGCTCTTTCTTTTTATATAGTTCTAAATTGCTTTGAATTTTTTTAATGGAAAGATGGGATGAAAACATCTTTCATATATAACTAGATTGCTTTGTGCTGAATCAGGCCACTGGTCCATCTGTTCAAGAATTATCCTTATGATTGGTGATGATTCTTCACAGTCGTTTATGGTCTTCCCTAATCTTCCAAGCTAACATTCTTCTAATTAGAGATGCTGAGCATTAAATCTGGAACCATCTGTGTGGTCTATTTTGAACTACAGCTTTCCCAATTCTTTAAGATTCTAAAGATTTTGGCAAACGCAGAGTCTGTCATTCACTTCCAAGAACTCTCAGCAAAGCAAAGGCTGTTGCCAGGCTGAAGTGGGCCCTGGGAAAGTTGCTCTCAACCAGAGCTTCACAGATGGTGACCAGGAGGCAGTTTTTCTAATTTTTTTCAGCATGTTGCTGGGCCCTAAGTCTCTGGGGAAATGAAGACGATGGTTCTTGTAAAGGTCTCATCCTGTAATGGGCCTTACCTATGCTAGCTGTGGATGCTAAATTTGAAAGCAGTTCACTAAAATTTTCTAAGAAGCATACTCCTATTCTCCCTCAGACAAGAGGACTATTGGAAATAATCTTCCAGGATGAGCTATAGCTGCTTTTTCCAACTTCATGACCTGCAGAGATGTTATGGTGCAACTCTCAGGATTCTCAAACAGCCTAAGCCATTCCGCCACAGGAATTCTGGGAGTTGCCATTTCAACACATCTGTAGAGCACCAGACTGGGGAAATGTAGCTATAGATTTCTGAAGAGGACTCAACATCCTATTAAACTACAATTCCCAGGATTCTTTGGGAGAATCCATGATGGTTGTCTTGATTTAATAATACAGTAAAGTAAACTCTAAATAGAAATGTAGGTCACTGAAGATATGGGAGTTGTTGATTTAACCAACCATTCAGTGACATGATTAAAAGGAGGCAAACACAGGCAGTGACTAATGCAGTTAGAACTGGCATTTTCCTCAGGGGATAGATCTATAATATAGATATATGACATTTTTTTTGAGTAATCTATTACTTCTCCTTCCTTTGGGAATTCCCTCCTCACCTGGTCCTCTGTCAGCAGGATAAGACGGGTTACAAGAATGTTCACGATATTGCCCAAACTTGAGTCTTGGAAAAGTTTAGCAACCTGACCTCCAGGAAACAAGGAAACACCAGTGTTAAAAATAAGATGGATTCAACATCATGACTGATCAAAAATGTCATCCTTTGCAGGATCACCAGAATATGGAAGAATATTTCAGGCTAAAATGTGAGGGTAGAGGAATGAGGTATTTTCAAGGGAGATTTTGATTAGCCATATCTCACTTCCATCAAACTGCTCCCCTACCCAGAATGCTCTGTCCACAAAGGTCAATCAGTCTCTATCAAGCACCATTGTGGCCCACCAATAGGCTCCACTGTCCTGGGCATTATCCCCTATCTCCTAGACTGTGGCGGCTGGATATGAGAATCTGAGAAGGTACCAGAGACATGGAAACCTTCAGCTGCATAAAGAATGAATGTGAGAAGAATAAATCAGTCTTCGTAATGCAGCTTTTTCCATGTTTTGCCTTTTAGATGTCTTTGGAGTAACTTCCAGAATTCCAAACTAGGACAGGAATTTGGGGTGCTGCAGTCGCAACATATCCAAAGGGCACTAGATTGGGGAAGTCTGGTAAAAAAATTGTGGAAATGAATACCCACGGATGAAGCTGCCAGAGGTAAGACAGCTATGGAGGCCACTGGATTAAAAAGATGGCAGTTGAAAGTCATGGTAATAGTGTGTCATGGTATGGTATGTGCGAATGACCTTGGGAGACAGGAGGAAGACCTGCAGCCTAAGCTGTGGGTCTTCCTCCTGTCTCCCAAAGTCATTCCCACATACCATCACATAGTGATGTCTTGGCTATAATACTTACAATATTCATGATAGCCAGGATGTATTCCTCTATGTCTCGCCGGCCATGGTAGCCCACCATCATCTTATCAGCCACCACAAGAGTCTCCACGTAACGCTCAGTGCTGACTGACCTCTTCAGAGGCAGTTGCCCTCTTTGAGAAAAGTTGCCCAGGGTCTTCAAAGGGGAAGGTTTCAGTGTCCGCAACCACCAGGGTCTACCTTTCCATGGCTTCTCATCTGAAGGGAAATGGCAATGAAGTCTTTAGCATTTTCTCTTCTTCCTCCCCCCTTGGACCCCAATACTTCACAAAGCAAAACCAAGTGACTTCTTATGCCTAGAATTGCTTCCAAAATAATACATTCAACAAATTCAACACTAAACCATCATAATGGTTTGGTTTTAACTTAGTGTCATGTATTCATTCAATCATTGTGATGTATCAATCATAGTTTAAACAGGGATGGGTGAATCCTTGGTACATGAGATATTTTGAGAAGAAAGTGAGGTGAAGAATAACATAAAATTTCCTTCCTTCCTTCCTTCCTTCCTTCCTTCCTTCCTTC